AATAATAAATAATAATAATTTGTCATAGCAAGGAAAGGACAACCTGTCTCAAAATTAAAATGTCCAGAGTTTATATCTGAGCCTCAGTTCTCTATTTTTCTTTTTGAACTCTGAGAAACATCCCATAGAATTTAGCTGCCTTTATACATATCTCAGCATATGGGTTGCAAAGTAAATAGAAAGCAAGTAATGTTGGGCTTGGACATATCTCTTTGTTCATTTTTTTGATCTCCCTTGATGTAAGCCACAGTAGCATGATGCATCACACTTATTGGATGCTGTACCAGTGCTGGAAACTGTTGATACCAAATCATGCTATCGGACTTACCCTGAATGGCCTAGGTCCAGACAGCACCATTCTATTAATGCAGCACTATTACCTGAGATCCTTTCATGTAGAGATGTGGGGAATTTAGCCTGGCATTTTCTACATATAAATGTGTGTGTGTAGGTATGTAGGCATGTGTATGTCTAAAAAAGAAAATTGAATTTCTGAGAGAAAGAAATCCACATGCGTAATCCTCTGAATAGAAAATTATTATTGTTATTATTGTTGTTTTTATTAAATTGTCATCATCAATAATAATAATACAGCGAAATAAATATTTTGAATTTGTAAGGATTAAAAACAATGAAATCTGACAATTTTAGTGTGAGAGATAGCTTAATGGGTGGTTACCTGAGATAATCAGATTATGCAAGTTAAATTTGATACAGAAAACTTCAAAAAGACTTTCTATATTTCTTGGACAGAAACCCTAGATATATTTTACAAAGCAGGAGTTTGTATATTTGGTCTGGAAAGTACAAGATACAATAATATAACTTACTTCCTATACATCTGATTCATGTAATTTACTGACCTTCATTTGGAAAGTAGTGTATTTCATTTCCTTCAGCTCCACTGTTACTCATATTGCAGAAAATTTTTGTTAGACTATGTGGAATATTTAATACAGTAAGTGTGCAACTTCAAGCGAAATGGGACTATAACAACCTGATGTTCTCCTGTCTGCTTACTAAGGTTAAATACTACAAATAGCGAACATTAGAGGAAACCTAGTGCTGTAAAGGCAACTTTCCTTGTCAAAGGTTTCAGTCCTGAAGGCACACATTGGGAAGAAAAACATCTTGTAGCACCTCAAAGTTTAATGAATATGTTATGAGATAGCCTAACCTTCTTTAACATGGTACACTCCAGATCTGTTGAGCATGGCCATCTGTAAGATACTAGATTGGAAATGAGGAGATAAACTTTTGGGAAAACTTTCATGGATTAAATTGAGAGACTCTACAGAAAGTTATCTATAATAAATGTGGTACAGGTAGTCCTTGCATAACGACCACAATAGTGGATAGACTGGAAAATTCATTGTTAAGTAGGCAGTTGTTAAGCGAGTCATGCTCGATTTTACGAACTTTTTTGCAGTGGTCATTAAGTGAATCATTGCAGCCATTAAGCAAATCATGTGGTTGTTAAGTGAATCACACGGTTCCCCATTGATTTTGCTTGCTGGAAGCTGGCTGGGAAGGTCGCAAATGGAGATCATGTGACCCCAGGACACTGCAACTGTCATAAGTGCGAGCTGGTTGCCAAGCACCCAGATCGTGATCATGTGACCACAGCAATGGTTGCAAGTGCGAGGACCAGTTGTAAGTCCCTTTGTTCAGCACTGTTATAACTTTGAATGGTCACTAAATGAATGGTTGTTAAGTGAGGACTACCTGTAGTCTTTTCAGTACTAAAAATTTCTTTGTTAATTTTGCCAAAACACAAAATATATATAACAGAGTTTGGATGCAGTTTCTGGAAAGAATGTCTATTGATTTATGTAAGATTATTACCCAATAATCATCTCAGTATCATAGAAGTAAGTCTCATTGACCTCAGTGGAACATATTTCCTAGAAGTGTGTCTAGAATATTAGCCTAGGAGTGTCAAGAGTCACTTCATCCTTTCTTATGTCACAATCAAGTAGATTTTTCTTTCTGCAGCTTGTGATACTGACCAGGCAGATCTTGTGTTTCTGATCGATGGCTCAAACAGCATATCAGGACAGAACTTTTCTATTATGAAGACCTTCATGAAAGAAGTGGTTGATAGCTTTATCATTGCAAAGGACAAAGTCCGGGTTGGAGTGGCTCAGTACAGCACAGAGCCTCAGAAAGAATTTTATCTCAATGAATTTTTTAAAGTTGCTGAAATAAAAGAAAAGATCGGTGCAATTGATCAGTTAAAAACTCGCACCTTCACGGGCCAGGGGCTGAAATTTGTCAAGACCTTCTTTGAACCTGCCAATGGTAGCCGAAAAAATATTGGGGTCCTGCAGTATTTGATTGTCATCACAGATGGGCACTCTGATGACAAAGTGGAGGAGGCAGCCATCGCTTTAAGGAAAGATGGCATCCAGGTTTTTGCAATAGGTATTGACGATGTAAACTCTTTTGAACTCCTTAAAATCACTGGCACTGCTGACAAAGTGTATGTGTTGAAGGACTTTGAAGAATTGCAAACTATTAAGAGGAAGTTTGTGAAAGAGATCTGTAACCCTGGTGATCGACCTCCTCCAGGTAAGTCTCAACATTTTAAAAATTCTATACATCTCCCCCTTATTTTTATTACCTCAGAAGGTTTAGTTTTATTTGCAAAAGATGAGGTAGTTGGTTTTTAATAGCTTTCTTTTTTAAGTAATTTGCTTTGCTTCAAATAAGAAGGATAGTGATCTCTCAGAAGGGAAAAAGAGGCTGAAATTATGTGAAATGAATCCAAGAGGAAATTTAGGAAATACTGGATACATTTGACATGGAGGAAAGTAGATTATGGTGATTTAAAAGAATGCAAAAAGATAAAGAGGGAATTATTGTAAATATGAAATTTATTGGATTTTAGAACTGGTTTTAGAATGGAAATTACTAAAACCAATGAGAGAGATGGAGGGGTGCAATCCTTTTGAAACTCTTGGAATTTCAATGGTTTCTTTTGATAGCATTATCAAAATCATACCATTTCCTCTTGATATCCTTTTGAATAAGCTGAGTTGGTGTTGGAGTACTGATCTACTGTGATGGCAAATTTAAGAATATGATGCTGGGAAATTATTGCACTTATGTTATGGATTCCATGAGGCTCATTTTTAAATCTGGTATGCTGTTCCATGTGGACATGAAACAGCCCTGGAGGAATTATCCAGAGTTGGAGATAGAGATATCAACAATATGCAGATGTCCTCAAACTTTACCTCTTATGAAAGCCACACGAGACAGTGAATAATCTTAAATCAGAGCCTGAGTATAATAATATACTGGATGAAGGTTGATATGTTGTAATTCAAATCAGACAAGACAGACATGCCATTAGTATGTGGTTCAATTGCTTCACTATATAGTAATCAGCTTGTTGGGTGTATATATATATTACACTTTCCCTAGTAGTTTGGAGTGTTCTTGGATCCAGCATTGTCACTAGAGGTACAGCTAGTTTCATTGGTGCAGAATTCCTTCTATCAGCTTAGCTCATGTTCCAACTATAATCTTATCTGGATAGAGACAACCTATTGAGAGTTAAATGTTAAATATTGCAGTTAAAACCGGGTTCAATAGATTCAGGCTAATATTAGAATGAAATCTTTGAAGAATGACTCAGAGATGGAATAAGTTGCTAGTAGAGACAGAACCTTTGGAAATCATTGAGGACCAAGAGATTGCATTACAGGATTCCCAAAGGATCGCAGGATTCTAGCCTACTCAGCTATGGACATAAGTAAAATTTAGTAGATCAGTCCCATCCCAAATATCTTTCTGGAAAGCAGAAATATTAACCCAAAATCAAAGTTTGACAAATGAGAATCAAGAAAAAGCAGTCCAAAGTGAGCAGGACAAAGAAGATAGAGATTGACTTGGTAGCTAGCAGACTTCTATCTCTTTATATGAGACTGGAGATAAGCTGGAACTTCACAACTCTGAGATGTAGAATGGTGCAATTGCCACACATAAATAAAAGAACTAATTAAAACAGTGGCAAATAATAAGTTAGAAGCTACTGTTATTTTACAATGAGGGAAAACATGCTGGGTTAAAGGACATTTAAAAAATAGGTATGGGCATGTATATATTTATTTTACAGTTTTGATAGCCCACCCGACTTAAAAGGCTGGGCGAATTGCAACAGGTTAAAATTATAAAAGCAGCAATAGGAGTAAATAAAAATTATAAAAAACAGCCATCTATTTATCACCCACAAAGAAAGGGAGGGGAGGGAAAGGAGTTTTTGGGAGGACCAAAAAGTGATTTGGAAGTGACAGACATCCCAGAAAGGACTGCTTTTTGCAGCTGGAAAATTTTAAGATTAAGTATATTTTTCCCTCCTGTTCATCTGAATGTTATTAGATAGGCTGCGTGAGGCATGATATATACGATCTGTTATAAGCAGTAATGAATCACCAATGGAATATGTTGGCCAGTATGGATAGAATCTTCAGAAATTTTATTGGAAGTCTAAGAGACTAGATTAGGTGATTCACAAGTTCAAATTGGAATATTGTCTATCCTGGTTCTGACATCATATGGATCATTGTTAAAGATCATAGAGATCTTCTTGGCAGCCAGGGTATGAACAAGTCAAATCTAGTACAGCAGATATCTACCCAAATGTTTATTTCCAGCCTAAAAGTGCACAGCTAGGAGTAGCCAAACCAGACTGTTCTCACAATTAATAACAACTTGTTCACAGTAAACTGTAAAATGCTATAGCAGCATCTAGTGGCTTGCTTAGGGCCTCTTGGCTATATCACAAGCAGATCATTCTGAAACTTTGGAACAAGGTTCTTATGTTCCCCTGAGCTGTTTTCAGAACACATAGAGCAAAACAAGGACATACCTTTTAAATACATTTACAAGTCCTTGTGCTGTGTGGGCTGACATCATATTTATGTTATTTTTTAAAAACCTGCCAAATTTTAAGGAAACTCATATTTATGCTCAATTATCCCACAGGAACCATGCTGTAAAAAAATCAAACAGGGGGGGGGGGGGGGGGGGAGGGA